CTATTGATTACAGCCCATAGACCTTCATGGATGGAGCCTGATAAGAAAGTGGTGCCAAAGAAACACTCATGAACAACTCTATATATTGTGCCATTATCACTGTGAAATATTTAAAGGTTAAATAAAGTCATGTGCATAACAAACCGTTAAATGATAAATAAATAAAGACAGATCATTTCAGAATCGGTGTAAAACCTTTGTTGATATTGACTGAAACATTCTGAGATGAAGTCTGATCTGCAGAGTCAGAGAAGCAGCGGATGTGTGAGCCGATAAATCATTTGAGACGGATCCACACGTTAACCATGAACGAGGCCGAGGACACGGAGCTGATGTCATCAGACTCAAATCCAGATGTTTCACCACAAAAACCTCAAAACACGGGTTGAAGAAATGTTGTGTGACATCACAGACTGACCTGAGCGTCCGTCACGCAGAGAGAAGATCTGTTCAGACAGCAGCAGCTCAGAAACATGGCCGCCGCTTCACGTCACGTTCAAACGTAAGAATCACATAATTATTACAGGAAACATTCAGTGAAGGTTTGTTTTAACTACTGAGACATAAAAAGAACTAAATCAGCAGCTCGCTAATCCTCATGGTCACAGGGTCAAAGGTCACCTCTGGCCAATGACTGTGATTCTCCAGAGAAACAATTTCATGTGAATTATTGTTGAATCGCTAAAGAGACGATTATGGAAACTGAGGATTAGTGAGTTAATCTGGTTCTAACCTGTAAACTTTCACTTTTGTTTTGTTGTAAAATGAATAAATGTTTTTTCTGGTTTATGTCCCTGGAAACACAAACTCAAGTGTTTCTTGAATTTGCTCGTGTGTTGAAGATGTTGAGCTTCAGTATAGTCTTCTTCATCAGTGTGAACGGTGTTTATTTAAAAGCTGCTGAGCATCAGTGAAGCATGGACTCAGGACAAATATAAAACGAAAGCACAATATATCCAGCTACTGACAGTTCTGGGTGTAAATGAAGGAAAAGCTGTAAACATCAGGAAATGTAAGATTCTGTGGACATGAAGTGAAGATATAAATGACTGAGTCACGATAAGAATCTTCATGTGAGTCATGGAATAATCATTTGAGGTCAGTTAATTTAAATAAACTCTGTCCCTGAACGGGTCTCGGGACATGTTCCCTGTGAGAACTGTGAGGACTCAATGTTATTGAACAGTCAAGTGTTTTTATTGATTCACTCCGCGACGTTTTCTTCAGGTGATCAAACGTCTCAAAAAGTTTCAAACATCCTCCAGCAGCTCTAAACTTTGTTAGAAGACGACCCTTGAAGACTTGGACTCGTTTTCCATGTGCGCCTCCCTTTCAACCTGCTCTGCTGCCTCCTGGTCATCCTCTCCCGGCCCCTCCTTTTTTAGTAGTTTCAGTGGCCACCAGAGGGAGCCGTTCTGGCGGTCTCTGCGAACGGTGTGTTCTGCCGGCCAGCAGCAGGGGGCGCCTTTATCCCCTGTCAGGAAGTAGAGGAGGGCATTGAGCCAGGCATTACAGGAGGCGAGTGGCCGGGTGACCTTGTAGCAGATTGAGACGGTCTTCATAGCGTAGCAGCCGCCGAGCTGCCCCCGCCGCAGAAGCAGGAAGAGCGTGCGGGTCACATGGAAGGGCAGGAAGCAGAGAGCAAACAGCAACGTAATGGTTAGAATGGTTTTGATGGATTTCCGCCGCCGCCGTATGTAGTGGGAGTACTGCGAGCCAGAGATGGAGACTGAGGTTCTTTCCCGCTCTCGAACTCCCTCTGCTGCCCCGTCTCCAACCTGACAGTCTTCACCGCCCTCCACCGAGCTGGGAGGAGATCGCAGGGTCTGAAATATCGTCCTGACCACCTGAGAGTAGCACCAGGCGATGATGACGAAGGGCACAAAGAAGCCTAATAGGTGAAGGACGATTCCATAGGGGACGTAGTCTGCAAATTCTTTGTCAATGGCGTCGTCCCAGCAGTTCACGTACCCCTCATCGTACTGATCCTCAGTCCTGTTCCCACCGTCCCATGATCCTCCAGGCCCAGCTACTGTGCTGCCTCCTCGCCTGATGTATCCCGTCTGGGCAAACCTGAAGATGGGGCAGGTGAGGATGAAAACCACCACCCACACCAGCGCACAGGTTCCCTTCACCACCCGCTTGCTCTCCAGAGTGATGGTCCTCATCGGATGACAGATGCCCAGGTACCTGTGGTGGACGACCAGCTGTGAGTTTGAATCTTTAATCACAATCTTGTAAAAACAAAGAAGATTAAACTGCTGCAATCGTTAGCATGTCTGGAAAACTACCTCACTGCCCATAACAGTTACCCATTGCTTCTTCCAAAGCTAAGAGTTAGCATACCGCTATAACGAACTATAGGAGAGAGTGTCACATAAAGTTAGAAAAGCCTTGTTCCATCACTAACAGGTTTACAGGCTCAGGAGTCCAGAGGATTCAGGGAGACACTGAGCCTCTGGACCACGTGACAGGAAATGTTTTCTCTGGAGAAACAAAGAAACTGTCGAGTCTGAGTGTCAATCAAAACTAGAACTGATTCGTTCCTCGAATGTTTGGAAAGTTAAAGGTTTAAACACCAATCAGATAAAAGGTAACGTGATGGAGTCGTCCAATCAGGCAACACTGAAGCTGTCGTACTCAAGCAGGACTGGACTTCGTGAAAGGACAATTTAAACAAGAGAGAAAATCTTCGAGGTTAGAAGTTGAACTGAATTCAGTCAAGTGAGCTGATGTTTACGACCTCTGCCAAGGAAGCTACGTTTTCATCAGTGTTTGTTTGACAGCGAAATTACGTAAAACTACTGAACCAATTTCCATGAAATTTTGAGGGGGGGTGGAGCATGTCCCACGAAGAAGGAATTAACTCAAATTTGGAGCAGGTCCGACCAAATGGGCAGATCCAGGATTTTTTTTTTCACTTTKTTTAACCATGGTCCTCTAAGTTTCCACTGGGCTAGCATGTCTCAGGAGCGACCTACCTGTGCACAGAGATGCAGGTGAGGAAGAAGATGGAGCAGTAGAGGTTGAAGTAGAAGAGGAAGCGTACGAGGCGGCACATGAAGTCACCAAACACCCAGCTGTCCCTCAGCACGTAGCTCGCCACCAGAAAGGGCAGTGACAGGCCGTACATCAGGTCCGTGGTAGCAAGGTTCACCATGTAGATCAGTGAGGTGTTCCAGCGTCGCCCACCGCTGCTGCTGCTGCCGCCGCCGCCGGCGCAGCATCCACCGCGGAGGCGACAGGAGCGTAGCAGCACTACAGAGTTGAGGGTGAGGCTGAAGAGGAAGGTCAGCGAGTAGCAGACGGGCAGGAAGACGTACTTGTAGGATTCGTCGATGCTGCAGGACGATGGATTGAGAGATGAGGCGGTGCCAGAGGTGTTGGGATTGTTATTCGCCACTGAGGCGATGTCTGGAGTGACGTTGGACGCTTGACTCAATCCCATCATGCACCTCTGAAGGTTATTTCTGACAGAGATGGATCAAATCAGGTTCCTGTGGAATCATCTCAGCTTCTTCACCTTCAAGTCTTCTCACTCACCAAGGTTTCCTTCATTTGTCTTTTATCAATCTATCAATGTCTCTGTCTCGCTGTCCTTCCCTCTCTCTCTGTCTCTCTCTCTACCTGTATGTCTCTGTGTCTATCTATCTGTCTGTTTGTCTCTTTCTCTCTCTCCCTCTACCTGCCTGTCTCTGTCTCTCTCTGTCTCTGTCTCTCTCTCTCTCTCTCTCTCTCTCTCTGTCGGTCGTTGACTGGTCTCTGGTTTGAAGTTGTTTCTGTAACAGGAGATAAAACCTCGTTAGTTTGTAAAAGCTCGTTCACATCTGTGTTTTGCTGATGAAGACGAAGTCTCGCTCAGTTAGTCGGTTGATGATTAACGAAGATTTCCTGAAACCTCTGATGTTCATGTTTCTTTCTGTGCGGCAGCTAAACGTTCTGTTCCCAAAGCTTCTGGGTCAGAGTTTAAATTCAAGCTTCCTGTCGTCCTGAGAACAAACTGGAGCGAACATCATTTAAGTTACATTCAAAAGTAGCAAGTTTGTTTTTTCAACCACAAAAATCTGCATCTTCCCACATGTGACCAGTTTTGAGTTAACGTTAAACTGATGTTCAGTTTGAACCAGACACTAATCAAATGATTTTCAATGAGTCATCATGAGCTTTGGTTTCGATATTAATCTCCACACGTAAGGAATCTGAAAAAGTTTGATGAAGAACTTTGATTTAAGACCAAACCTTCAAACCATCAGAAGTGAAATATCAACACAAGACATGAAAATAAAGATTTTGTTTGCACGTCGGTGTTTCACCGTTTTCTACAAACCACGACTGAAAACTGAGTATTTCCAACTTTGGCAAATAGTGTTAATTGTTGTGGTTTGTTGTTGAATTATATTAGAAATGTCTTCTTATCATTTGTTTCATGCTCATTAATCAAGAGACAAACGTCTAAATGAGTTTACTGAGAAATCAAATATCTGTAAATACTTCATGTGCGTTATAGATGCCATTCAAAGTAACTGTGCAACGAACCCAAGATTAAAGCACCTGATAGAAACAAGTCAGTGATTTAATATACTACAATTAATGTATTTAACTCAAATCGAATTTGTCTGATCTTGACCATCGTCACACAGTTTTTAACAAATTGTTAAATGCACTTTGATTTAAATAAATGACTAAATACTGCAGACGACCTGTGATTTAAAACAACGGCAGCTTTTCCATGGTTTACTTCACATCAATGTAACCTGCTGCCTCACACAGGGTCTTAAAAATAAACGTATTCAGGTCGTCAGTTTTATAGAAAGTGAAGAAAAGAGGAAAAATGATCAAATAATTGACGATCCTCTAAATCTGGAAGTTAAATTTAACCAGTTTCTAATCATGAGTCTTAATCTGGAGTCAGTTCAGATTGAGAGCTTCAGATCTGAAACTGAAGGACGTCCCCTGATGTCCTACCTCCTCTCGATCGTCCCATCGGTCTCGTCCCGGCGTCTTCGGCAGAGTCGTGGCTGAGAAGAGTCTATTTCAGGGCCGAGAGGTCTCTCGGGGCTTCTCCTCTGACCTTCAGCTTCTCTGTAAATAATTGATCAGCGTTCATTCAGTCAGAACTGCAGGAATGAAACCGAATACAGGGACTGCAGAGGAGGAGGAGCAGATTGTACAAACCGACTTTACAGCTTCACAATAATGACAAACACACGTTAATAACTTAATCACTAAAACACTGCTCGTGCCACACAATGAGTTAAAGCCTCTGTTATCAGGTTCATGTATCATCTGCAGAATTATTATACATGTGATTTAGTTTGATGTGCAGGTTGTGTTCTGCAGATTGAAACTAAAAGAAACATGAATTTCTATTCTTCAATCATTCTTCATCATTAACCTGAAACTAAAAACCAAAGAATGAAAGGTTTGTGTCCTGAACTCACCAGAAAACATCACTTTACTTTAAAACATCTCAACAACATCCTCCGATCTGAAGTCAAAACAGAAATGAATCAACGATTGAAGTTTTTACAGAAAAGACAAAGCGTCGTTAGTAAAACCTGAGTAAATCATATATTTATCAATAAATGATCATTGAGATGTTTGAATCAATAATATTCTGATTCCTTCAGTCGCTGATGTGTCATTTAATCTGAGTGCGTTTAAAAATACTCCGAGGAAATAAAGTGACTCACCTCCTCATCCAGAGAAGCTGCTGGAGAAGTGTCACTTTCTCCTCCTCTCGTTATCTGACCACGCTTTAATTAGAAAGCTCCTCCTCCTCCATCATCATCATCATCATCATCATCACCAGGTCTGATCCACACAGCAAACACACAGCTTGTCTTCTCTGACAGTGAACACACAACAGAGCTGCATGACAAAGCACCGTGTGTGTGTTTGAACACGCAGCAGTGTTGAGTGTAATCAAACACGGAAAAACAATCGGTGGTCA